GCAATTTATGTCCTAGGGCATTATTGAAAACAATCGAGCAATCAGCCAGCGATTAGTAAACCTTAACAGCTGAGGTATGATTAGGAAAAGAGAGAAGAGTTCTTCCAAAACCACTCCATCCTAGAGCGACTGTGGGCCCACCCTAAGCTGCACCTCCCTGACAAGCAGCATCAGAAGCTTCACACCATGGGGCACCTGGCTGGCTCAGTCAGTAGAGCATGCAACTCTTGATCTTGGGGTTTAAGTCTGAGCCCCACGTTGGGTGTAGAGATTACTTTAAAAAAAAGTTTCACCTTTTGGGGGGTTGAGGTGCAAGGGAGAAGAATATCATTTACAAAAATAATCCAGCCAGTCACTAAACAAGAAGCAAATAACAAGCTTAGTGGAGGGTTGCAGGTGTTCCCTCGCCTAGAATTGCTATAATATATTGTCCAAAATGTCCAGTTCCCAACAAAAAAAGAATATAAGACATGTAAAGAAACAGGAAAGTTTGACTCATATATCAGAAAAAAAATCAGGGAACAGAAATTCCCTGTGAGGGGCGCCTGGGTGGCTCAGTCAGTTAAGTGTCTGCCTTCGGCTCAGGTCATGGTCCCAGGGTCCTGGGATCGAGCCCCACATCAGGCTCCCTGCTCAGCAGGAAGTCTGCTTCTCCCTCTCCCACTCCCCCTGCTTGTGTTCCCTCTCTCACTGTGTCTCTATCTGTCAAAATAAATAAGTAAAATCTTTAAAAAAAAAAAAAAAAGAAATTCCCTGTGAGAATGACAAGATATCAGATTTAACAGAAAAAGTCTCCAAAGTAGTCATTATAAATATGTTTAAAGAACTAAAGAAAACCATGATTAAAGGAGTAAAGGAAAAATATGATGGCAATGTCACATCAAATACAGAATATCAATAAATATCAATAAAAGAGATAAAAGTTATAAAAAAGAACCAAATGGGGACATCTGGGTGGCTCAGTCAGTTAAGTGTCTGCCTTCGGCTCAGATCATGATCCCAGGGTCCTGGGATCAAGTCCCTGCTGAGCAGGGAGCCTGCTTCTCCCTCTGCCTGCTGCTCCCCCTGCTTGCGCTCGGTCTCTCTCTCTCTAACGAGTAAATAAATAAATAATCTTAAAAAAAAAAAAAAAAGAACCAAATGGAAATTCTGGAGTTGAAAAGTACAATTACTGAAGTGAAAAAATTCACTAGAGAGGTTCAGGAGTAGATTTTAACTGACAGAAGAAAAAATTAGTGAACTTGAAGATAGCTGCTAGAGATTATGCAATCTGAAGAACAGAGAAAAAATGTGAAGAAAAATAAGCAGAGCATCAGAAAAATGTGAGAATCATACCAACCAACATATGCATAATGGTGGTATTAGAAGGACAGGAGAGGGGTGCCTGGGTGCCTCAGCAGTGTTAAGTGACTGACTCTTAATTTCGATTCAGGTCATGATCCATGGGTAATGAGATGGAGGCCCACATCAGGCTCCACAATGGGCATGGAGCCTGCTTAAGATTCTCTCTCTCACAGCGCCTGGGTGGCACAGTCAGTTAAGTGTCCAACTCTTGGTTTCGGCTCAGGTCGTGATCTCTGGGTCAAGGGATCAGACCCTGTGTTGGGCTCTGTGCTCAGTGTGGAGTCTGCTTAAGATGCTCTCTCTTCCTCTGCCCCTCCCTCCCCCGCTCTCGTGTGCATGAACACGCGCTCTCTCTCTCTCTTAAAAAAAAGAGAGAGAGAGAAAAGAACAGAAAAAATATTTAAAGAAATAATGCCTGAAAACTTTTCAAATTTATTGAAAAACACTAACCTACACACCCAGGAAGCTCAAAGAATTCCAATTAGGATAAATTCAAAGATATCACAGACACTGCATAGTAAATGCTCAAGTCAAAGACAAGGAGACCATCTTGAAAGCAGCAAGAGAAAAATGATTCAACACTTATAAGGGAATCCCAATAAGATTAGCACCTGATTTCTCAGCAGAAACAATGGAGGCCAGATGGTGGTGAGATAATGTATTCAAAATATTCCCCCCTCCCAAACACTGTTAACCAAGAATCCTGTATCCAGCAAAGCTGTATTTCAGAAATGCTCAGATTTCTTTCTGAGTTCCAGGTTGATGGAGGTCACTTCATAATAGACATGTCTATTTGGATGTCCCAGGGGAACACAGATCTACCTCCTCCTCATCTTTCCCACGCCCATCCTAAGTGTGCTCCCCACCTCATTGAATGGGCCAACCTTTACCCAGGTGCTCATCCCAGACTCCTCCCACAACCCCAGGCCCCCAACACCTCATGTTGCCTTGCTTCACCATTTCCGTTAAGTCTCTCAACTGCTCTGCCTACCTCCATTCCAGCCTCCTTTCTTTTTTTTTTTTTTTTTTAAAGATTTTATTTATTTATTTGAGACAGAGAGAATGAGAGACAGAGAGCATGAGAGGGAGGAGGGTCAGAGGGAGAAGCAAACTCCCTGCCGAGCAGGGAGCCCGATGCGGGACTCGATGCGGGACTCGATCCCGGGACTCCAGGATCATGACCTGAGCCGAAGGCAGTCGCTTAACCAACTGAGCCACCCAGGCGCCCCCAGCCTCCTTTCTGACCCATGGTCCCCAAACTAGCAATGAAAGATATTCCTAAAATGCAAATCAGATCGTCACACACACACACACACACACACACACACACATACACATATCCGTAAGATGCTTCCAGTTCCCTCACTGCCTTCCAGAGAAACTTCCAAATGGCTGGTAAGTCCCCTTTCTTTTCTGGCCCCTGCCATCCCCTGTAGCCTACCCCTCTGCTCAAGCCACACCAAATTTGCTATTTCCCAAATGGCTTTTGCCTGTCCCTGTGCCTACCTGGGTGTTGTCCATTTTGCCAGAGGTGAAGTCCCTCCCTTTTCCACCCAGTTATTGGCCACATCCTCTAAGACACAAGCTTAATGATTGCCTCCACCAGAAAGCCTCCCCTGATTCTCATTCTGGATCAGATCTTTTTTTTAAGTTTGTAATTTAATTCCACTTAATTAACATAGAGTGTTCTATTAGTTTCAGGTGTACAAGATAGTGATTCTGGATTAGATCTTTCTACATCTTGAGGGCATTGGACCACCTCCTCCACAGCACTTATCACAATGCATTGTAAATTTTCTTTTCCTTAAAAAAAAGTTAAAAACACTTTATTTGCTTTTTTTGTTGTTTCTGTCTAGCTTCCTCACCAGGACGTTTCTCTGTGCATTTCTAGTACCACACTCAGTATCCAGCACATAGTTAATGCTCCTTAGATGTCTGCTGAGTGAATGCTGAGTGACTAGAATGTACCAGAGGAACATGACTGGAGGCAGAAAGAGAAGTGAGGCAGTTTTTACAGTGACCAGGAGGGCGGCATTAAAGGCTAAAACCAAGGCTGGGGCAGGAGGGACAAAGAGCCAATGGAATTTGTAAATAAAATGGCTTGAAATCTGCAAAACAGTCTTAAACCAAGGAATAAGCCTGTGTGGCTTGGGGCCCTCATTTTGAGTGGTGCAGGAGAGTATACCGTGGGACGTGGCTGCGCTGGAAGTTGTTCTGTGAGCAGGGACACAGTGCAGTTTGCTTGGTGGGGACAGGGAAGGTTCAATGCAGCTTTCTACCAGCCAACACACAGCTTCTTCCCTCCCCCCTCCCCCCGACCTGGGAGCCTCCAGAGCCTGAAGTGCAGCAAGAGGTTTGTGTATCAAAGACTGAACTCTGGAGTCACACAGAGTTGCAACGATAGTGGGGAATGAGGTATAAGGGGATATTGGGGACAGCCTGGGTGTCTCAGTCAGTTAAGCGTCCTACTGTTGGGTGCGGCTCAGGTGCTGATCTCAGGGGTCGTGGGATGGAGTCCTGTGTCAGGCTCTGCGCTCAGCAGGGAGTCTGCTTGAAGAGTCTTTCCCTCTGCCCTCCCCCCACTTGTGCACGCCCCCCCAAATAAGTAAATAAATCTTTCAAAGAGTTATTTGGGATGAACTTGAAAAAGATTATGCTAAATGAAAGAAGCTGGGCACAAAAGGACAAATACTGTATGATTGCACTTAGATGAGGTACCAAGAGTAGTGAAATTTGTGGAGACAGAAGGTAGAATGGTGGTGAACAAGGGCTGGGGAGAGGGGCGCGGGGAGTTAGCATTTGATAGGTACAGGATTTTTTCTTGGGGAATATAAAAAAATCTGGAGATGGTTGGTGGGGATGGTTGCACAACAGTGTGAAGGTATTTAATGCCACTGGACTAAAATGGTACAAATTTATGTTATGTATATTTTACCACAGTAAAACAATTGCTACTGACAAAATAAAAAAAAAAAAAATGCAGGGATGATTCCAGGCCCTTGAGGAGCCATGCTAGTTTTCTTTCTTTTTTTTTTTTTAAAGATGTTATTTATTTATTTATTTGACAGAGAGAGACACAGCGAGAGAGGGAACACAAGCAGAGGGAGTGGGAGAGGGAGAAGCAGGCCTCCCGCTGAGCAGGGAGCCCGATGCGGGGCTCGATCCCAGGACCCTGGGATCATGACCTGAGCTGAAGGCAGACGCTTAACGAATGAGCCACCCAAGCGCCCCCATGCTAGTTTTCTGACTTCAGAGAGACAATTATCCCAGGGAAGAATCCAGAACTGACTCCATCATTATTCTAGATATAGGAGCTTCTTAATTCCCACCAGCCAGGCACCAAGAGGAACACACTTTTTGCCACTTTAAAGCACAGCTGCCCCTGAAACAGCAGAGCTGGGAGCTACCTAAGGAGTGTCCTGGGCCAGTGAGGCCCTCACTTGCCAGTGACGTGGTCACCTATAGCTCATTAGGTCAGAGCCAGGGCCAGACGCCATGTCCCTTGACCCTGGGCCCGTTGCCTATCCATATACCAACTTACTCTTAGCTCTCCCATTTACATCAGTGGCTCGAGGAATTTGTCGAGGGCTAACTCTACCATCTTGTGATGCATCTCCATTTTTTTCCCCCTGCAGTGGATGCTGTGGTGAAACACGTATAAAATGAACGACAGGACAATCTGCCTCGTGGTGGGCATCTTCTCTGTCCTCAACACCATCCAGTTCCTCATCTTTGACCTGAACCACATTACAGCTGTTGGCTACGAGGACAAAGTCAACATCTATATGGAAACCAAATCTGAGGTAGTGTCTTGGATGATGACCCACAAGAAGAGCATCAGCGTTGTCTTATCCACCATCACCATCATGTTCAGCCTGTTGCTTCTCTACAGCATCCGCTGGAATAAGTACATGGGGCTGCTGTGCTACGGCATGTGGATCATCACCTATGAGCTCATCAGTTTCTCCATGGTCGTGCACATCAACGGGATCATCAAAGAGCAGTTCAAGGAGCTGAGTTACCTGTACTTGATCTTCCAAATCTCCCGTATGCTCTTGCACTTCCTCTGTCTGCCTTTCCTCACCAAGCATACCTACACCCTTTACAAGGACCCCAAGATCTTAAGTAAAATAGGCCGCCGCAGGCATTCCTCCATCAGTATGGTCGATTCGTGGCCCCCTGTTGGGATGGGAACGTTGTACCGCAAGTTGAACTGAACCGTGCCAGGAAGAAGAGAAAGAGAGGTGCTCCCCAGCAATAGCTCCCCTTCTCCCTAGCCTGCCTTCTGTTGATTCTGCTTACCTTCTCAGGGCTCTTGAGTTCTATGCGCTGAAGAGTATTCTTGGGGGAGGGTGGGTTGCCTGGATCAGTTACTGTGCATGTGTTTGTAACCTGTTTTCGCCTTTTATTACATACCTCCTTTGTTCTTAACCAACTCATGGGTGTATGCTGTTACTTCTCATGATTCCCCCCACTCCCTGCACATCCTTAGTTTCTCATTTTTCTTTTGGGGATTGTCCCACCAATGCCTGGTTCTGCTGAGCCCTTGTGGAGCAATGCTTGTCCTGTAGAACTTTCTGTGCTGATGAAAATGTCCTGTATCTGTGCTGTCCACTAGTCACCTATAGCTACGGAACACTTGGAAGGTGGCTATTACAACCCAGGGATCAATAAAAACCTTTTTCCATTTTAAGTAATTTCAATTTCAGTAGCCACATATGGCCGGCTCATGGCTACCATATGGGAGAGCACGGTAATCTGGAGCCTCATTTTGCTCCTGCGTATAATCGTACAAGGAATCTCTTTCCAGCTTCATATATCACTCTGCACTCTCGTACTTTTCCGATAGGTGTGGTCCTATTGGTCCCTAACATGGCAAGAAGATCCGCATTTAAGAAAGCTCCAGGATTTTTTTCAGTTTAAGGACTATTGACATTTTGGATGGGATAATTCTGTCCTGTAGGGGGCTGTTCCCTGCATTAGAGGATGTTTAGCAGCATCTGTGACTTCTACCCACTGGACACCAGTAGCATCCCCTCACCCTTGTGACAACCAAAAACATCTCCAGACGTTGCTAAATGTTCCCTGGGAAGACAAAATGGCCTCCAGCTGAGAACCACTACTTTATTTACTTTTTAAGTTTATTCATTATTTTTTAGTAATCCCTACACCGAATGTGGGGCTCGAACCCATGACCTTGCGATCAAGAGTCGCACACTCTTCCAATGGAGCCAGCCAGGTGCCCTGAAAACCACTACATTAGAGCAAATAATGTGTCCCTTGACTTCACTTCCAACAGTTTTTTTTTTTTTTTAAGATTTTATTTATTTATTTGACAGAGAGAGACACAGTGAGAGAGGGAATACAAGCAGGAGGAGTGGGAGAGGGAGAAGCAGGCTTCCCCGCTGAGCAGGGAGCCCGATGCGGGGCTCGATCCCGGGACTCCAGGATCATGACCTGAGCCGAAGGCAGACGCTCAATGACTGAGCCACCCAGGCGCCCCCCAACAGTTTTTGAATGAAAAGGAAGTATCCTAAAAGAAGGTCCCTCTTTTTTTTTTTTATCTTGGTAAGGATAAGAGTGCTTCAGCGAACCAAGTAGGATATTGTGTATACACGTTGAGAGACGATACCATCTACTATTAACTAAAGGAGAGCATCTTTTACTGAGAGCTCTTGACATTCACTACCTGGTGTTGTTTTAATTCTAATGCTTCCATTTTACGGCTTGGTGAAACGGAGACTCAGGGCACTTAAGTGATTTGATTGAGGTCACACAGTAGCAAAAGCAGGATTTGAATCTAGATCATCTGACTGTATACACAATATCCTACTTGGTTCCCTGAAGCACTCTTATCTCCACCAAGATTAAAAAAAAAAAAAAAAAGAGGGACCTCCTTTCAGGATATTTCCTTTTCATTCAAGAACTGTTGGAAGTGAAGTCAAGGGACACATTTATTTTAACCACATTCCTCCAAACCGCGAGCATAATGACAGTAGCCCACTTTTACCAAACACTTGATAAGTGCCTGGTGCTATTCTAACAATTCACTCAACTCTTCGCACCACCCTGCGAGTTCCAGATTTGGACCCAGGCCAGTTCCTAAAATGACCACCAGGTGGCAGTCAGCAATAAGCTTTTGCTTAGCGCTGTTTGCCTTCCCAACCAGATCCTCTAGGGGTGGCTGAGGAGGGATTTAGGGAGCCTCAAGCTGATGACTGAGGACTAACAGTGTGCGTCCCCGTCCTAATCTCACAAGGCGTGCCTTGACTGGTACCAGAAACAAAAAATAAAACATGGGCTGACTTCAGGCTCTAATCCCCCTTCTCAGCTGGGGTACCGATGGGGAGGTTGGGAGACCAGAGACCTGTGTACAGAAGAGATGGAGAGGGAAGCAGAGTTCCAAGAATCAGCTCAGCTAAGAGTTACCTGACGCCGGGAGACTTAAGATGATCAGATACAAGGCTGTGCGCCCCTCTACACTAGGACTCCTCAAAGTATTGTCTGTCTGTCGGCCTCCCCATCCCAGCTTCCCGTTCTCTCTAGAACCCGGTGCTCCACTCCACCGAGTCTGCTCTTGGTAAGGTGGTCTCCACATTGCCCAGTCCTGAACTCAGCTTTCTCTAGCGTGCCAGACTGTTCCATGGCTTTTGACCTCCCTGACCTGCAAACAGCGCTCTCTCTTTTGGTCTTGGGACACCAGGGCCATCACTCTCCATTTGCCATCTGCCTCATTGGCCCTTCTCATCTCCCTGACCTCCAGACATTGGAAATGCTCCCTGTCATCCCTCTGATCTCCCTTCTGACTGCTCTCTGCCCTCCCTCTGCTCCAGCCAAACTGGCCTCCCTGCTGTTCCTCCCCCACACCCAGCACATGCCAGCCTCAGGGCCTTTGCACCTGTTTTTCCTTCAGTCTGGAACGTTCTCACTCCAGATCCCCTGCCTTCCTCTCTTGTTTCTTTCAGATATCTGCTCAAAATTCATGGGAGAGCCTCTCCCTACCAGCCTATATGAACCCAGCCCCTCTGTAAACCACTTTGCCTGCTTTATTTTTTTCATAACACGTATTATCACCTGACTTACTATACATAGTTACCTCCTCTACCCCCCAAAATATAAGCACCATATTTTCTTCATTGCTGTTTTCCCAGCACCTAGAACAACACCTGGCACATAGTATGTGCTCGATCAATATTTGTGGAATGAATGGACACAGACCTTCGGCAGAATAGAAAGAGCGACTGTCGCCCGTGTTCCACCTGGTCATTATGGTAGACACAGGCAAAGTCCTACAGCTCTTCAGCCTCCTCTTCCTTCTCCTTTTTTCTCTCACTTCTGGAGTCTGCAGAAAGTTACAGGTGGGAAATATTCGCAAGGGATACAATTTCAGCTTCCTTATCCCTCCCCTCCTTCCCTAACTCTTTTCCTTTGCACCAGCTGCTGACACTAGAAATACCTCATCTTGCAGCTCAACCTCACTAAGCCTAAAACAAGCCTTTCCCAAACAGTGCAGGTGTCCCTGGGAAGGGCATATTCCGACAGTTGTCACCGCCACGCCCTCCCCCCCACCCAGGGCCGTGAAGATCTCTGGCCTTCCGTCCTCCCTTGCTTCGCTAGGTTTGCTGAGTGTCTGCTGTGTCGCAGGCCCTGAGATGGGAACTGGGGAATATCTAGAAAGTAAGACACAGGCTGCATTTCAAGAAGCTCCCAGCCTAAGGAGGGCTGAGTCACTCAGGACCTTTTGGACCCATATGATGGGTGCTGAGGGAAGCACTGGGGGCCATAGGAGGAGTCCTAACTCTTGAAGAATGGAGAGTCAGGGAAGTCTTCTTGGAGGAAGAGACGTTTAAGCTGTAGCCGAAAGAGCCGTGAGAAGAGAGGAGAGGAAACAGAAGGGTGGCCGCCTGAGAAGGTGCAGATAGCCCTGGGATAGCAGAGCTACCTCAGGGTGAAGGAAGCGGATCTGTGGAGGGGACGGTAGTGTCGAGAGGAAGCAAGCAGATACGAACTTCCCCAGAGAGAAGAGGGTCTCCCCTTTTCCCACGGCCTCTGCTGGCTGCTCCCAGAAGGTGTTTGCTCTTAAGCACACAACCACTAAATATTTCTAAACATCTTCTCCGCCTCACTGCTATCACCCATAACTCCAAGTTTCTCCACCAGCCACGTCTTGAGGACACACTTCATTCTGGGTTCACTTCTCCCCGCAGGTTTCAAGATGTGTCAAATGTTTCCATCTGTTTTACTTCTTTGTTCTCAGGGCCTAGGTCCCCATTCCCCCTGCCTCCTTTCTCCCAGAACTGCCCACATCAATTGCTACTCTCATCAGCCCTCAAAGTCCTCTCTCTCTCTCTTTTTTAAGATTTTATTTATTTATTTGATAGAGAGAGAGCGAGCAGGGGGGAAGGGCAAAGGCGGAAGGAGAAGCAGGCTCCCCGCTGAGCAAGGAGCCCCATGCGGGGCTCGATCCCAGGACTCTGGGATCATGACCTGAGCTGAAGGCAGACGCTTAACCGACTGAGCCACCCAGGCGCCCCTCAAAGCCACTCTCTTTCCCTTTCTTTGGTCTCTCCCAACCACCAGTCTCTACCCATGGCCTGATGCTTTGCCGATTTTTCCAATCCATTGGCCCACCCGATAAGAAATTAATAAAGGCCTCTGAGAGCCAGCCCCTGACTCTTGAGACAGCCTTTCACGTGGGTAAGCTGCTCAGTGAAACCCTCCCCAGCGTCCTTTCCCTTCCCTGCCATCCCCTCACCAGTTATTAGTAAAATAGGAGCTTGTTTAAATGGTTAAATATGGGCGGGGCGCCTGGGTGGCTCAGTCGTTAAGCGTCTGCCTTCGGCTCAGGTCATGAGCCCAGGGTTCTGGGATCGAGCCTCGCATCGGGCTCCCTGCTGGGCGGAGAGCCTGCTTCTCCTTCTCCCACTCTCCCTGCTTGTGTTCCCTCTCTCGCGCGCTCTCTCTCTCTGTCAAATAAATAAATAAAATCTTTAAAAAAAAAAAAAAAGGTTAAATATGGGCGCCTGGCTGGGTCAGTCAGAGGAGGGTGTGACTCTTGATCTTGGGGTTGTGAGTTCGAACCCTAAAAAAATGCTCACAGGGGCAGCCGGGTGGCTCAGTAGGTGAGGCCTCTGCCTTCAGCTCAGGTCACGATCTCAGGGTCCTGGGATCAAGCCCCGCATCGGGCTCCCTGCTCAGTGGGGGGCCTGCTCCTCCCTCTCCCTCTGCCTCCTCGCCCCTGCTCATGCTCTGTCTCTGTCTCTCTCTCTCAAATAAATAAATAAAATCTTTAAAAATAAATAAATAAAGTAAAAATTTAAAAATGCTTACTTTTTTTTTCCTAAATGAATTATGATTTTCTTCCCTGGACATAGGTTTTACAAATGCCTTCTGACCATATTAATTTTCACAAACAAGGGCTTTCTGTGTATGTGTTTGTGCATGTGAATGTGTGTGCTTGTTTACCTGTGTTTGTGTATGTGAATGTTCGGGTGTGTTTGTATATGTTGTGGTTTGTGTGTGTGCATATTTATGTATTTGTGTTTATGACATGTT